TCGCTTTAAATTCCAGGAGTTCTGACGCCTCTGCCCTTCTGCCAATCCATCGCCATGCCAGATCCCCTGCACGGAATCCCTCGCCCCGGCCTAGTCCCTCCGTCTCTTCACCTTCTCTCCTCCGCTGCATCCTACATGAAAATGGGCTTCTTACGCATAAGCGAATTCACACACTCTCAGGCCACCTTTAATGCATCCCGAGACATTGCCTTCTCTGACCTGTCATATTATCCCGACTACTTCAACCTCCACCTCAAGCATTCCAAACACAAAGGCGCTTGCAATATAGTCATAGCTCGGTCTGACACTTCTCCCTGTCCCTACAGATCCATGATGCATTACACTCGCCTCTGCTCTCGGAAAGGAGATCTCAACGGACCGTTATTTCTCACCCCCGATCACCTCCCAATGACATCTAACTGGTTCAGTTAGATGTCATTGGGAGGTTAGGTTCATTGCGCTGGCGGTCACAGCATATAGCGATAGCGGTCACAGCATATAGCGATAGCGGTCACAGCATATAGCGATAGCGGTCACAGCATATAGCGATAGCGGTCACAGCATATAGTGATAGCGGTCACAGCATAGCGATAGCGGTCACAGCTTAGCGATAGCGGTCACAGAATAGAGTAGTCACGACGTCTGTCCCCTCCAAACCAGGCTTCGAAAACTCCATCAACACGCAGCCTTTTTGGGGATTGTGCGCGCTCCATCGCAGGAGCCTTTCCGATCTGAAGGCTGCACCGGGACCTAGGGCGCCAAACCTCCTTTCAATAAAATACTCAAAACTTCCTGTTTTCTCGTCTCTCCAAATTGAAATGCAGCCAGCGAAAATTCAATTTGGTAGACGTTAACCAAAATTACCCCCTCCAGGCCGGCTCGCATCCCCAGCCTATCGCTCAGCAGACGCCCCCCTTCCAATCATCTGTACCGACTCGCCAGCCGCATAAAAACGGAGAAACTCCCACTCTCGGCCTCTGAAGCCTCGCAACCACCGCCTCCCCTCCTCCTCCTCTTCACCCTGCCTCCAATCTGCCTTCAATCTGCTTCCCGCTGCCAAATGCCGCCACCAGTGCCTAGGTCCCGGGGGATTGTGCGCGCTCCATCGCAGGAGCCTTTCCGATCCAAAGGCCGCACCGGGACCTAGGGCGCCAAACCTCCTTTCAATAAAATACTCAAAACTTCCTGTTTTCTCGTCTCTCCAAATTGAAATGCAAATGGCTACAATCCGGGGGAGATGTGTTCATTAGCATATACTGTGCCAAACGAATAAACAATACAACCAACCATGAGTCTCCATTGTTGGTGCAGATGCTGGAGCTCGTTCCCTGATCCCAAGTTCATGAACAAAAGTATAATGCGGTTGGCACTGAGACAGTGAGGCTCTAATGAGATTATCACTTATTATAATATTCTCTTGTTGTATTTAATCGTCTATTTCAAAAGTCTCCAGTACCAAGAGGCCCGACAGTTGTGGTATTGGCCGATGACTTTGTAATTGACGGAGAGGAGCTTCTACGTTTGTCTGCGCTCATGCTTTCATGAAGACCAAATTCAAGATTGTGCTTTCAAGTTTTAGAATGTGAGATTATGTGCTTTATCATTGTGTCAAAACAAAAACCCATCACTTGAAAGGTACACGTTCCTGTTGTACATCCACAAGCTGCGATCCTGAGATGTGTTTGAGAACAAGTTCAACCTCATCAGAGACACAATGAGCACCAGAGGTCAGAGGTCACACATCCTAAGCTGAGGGGAGGTGGCGCTCCCATGATTACGTTGTGAGGTCAGTAGAGCAAGATGATCCGGATCAGGAAACCCCAGTGGCAGAACTGTAATTACAGTCTACTTAAGCTAACATGTGGCAATCCCAAGGTTGTATTTCAAGGTCTTACCTCCCGAGCCATATGCTGAATTAAAAAGGACTGTTTTAAGCCTGGCATTGAATGTACAGACTCTTTCTACTTCCTTGATGTGGATGGGGAGCTGATTACACAGTATAAGAGCTTGGTAGCTGAACGCTCTGCCTCCTACAACATGTCTGCTAAACGTGACTAGATTTGCTGCCGCCCAACTATTTTTCTTTTGGCAAATAAAAGATGATGTGACAGATGATGGATCAGGAGCAGTAGAAGCTGAACAGGCATGCAGATGGAGCGCCCACGTTATAAACATGGAGAGAGAAAGGCTCAGTGAGACGTGTGGAATTCACTGAGTTCCCTGAAAGCTAAAAACTATGTGCATATGTATATGTGGGTTGTATATGTGTTTTTAAATACTGTAAGTTCAAGTCTCTGTGACAGAGATTGTATCTTTGTTTGAGTGTGTCTATTTTTGGTTCGTAACGTGAATATGCAAAACATGGTAAAAGTCTGTCAATTCCCGTTTCCTTTAGTCGTCCTTTCTCTGCTGTTATTAAATAAACAACTCCATTATTGGCTGTTCCATAAGCAGCAGTGCGAAGGTGACCCCTGAGTCGGCCCCAGCCTGGGCCTCCGCTCCCGAGCAGATGGGTGCAGTCACATGGCCCTCCCCCCCAGAGCGGAGAGGAGAGGGAGTGCTTCCGCTGCATCGGCCTACAGTGCTGTATATATATGCTAACCCGCTAGCTCAATGAAGCCCAACAGGGAAGCGGGAAGTGCTCTTGGATGAAGTTCTCTGCCTCCTATTGATTTACATACAAAGTAAACTCCTCTAGCTCAGTAACTGTTTGTATCACAGTCACTATTCTGGCCTTACATCTGTGGATTTGCGCTCTGTGATCCTGGTGTTTGGATTGTGTTATTCTCTGTGTAAATCCAGATGTGAGCCATTTTAGGATTGGCCAATCAGATCTTCAGACCCCGAGTAAAAGCACCATCCATAATATCAGGAATGTGCTCTTCAAACTCGATAATCTCATGAATAATCAAGATTCATCATGCGATTATCTTCCAAATGTATTTTTCTTCCTGCAGATATGTCGTAAAAGCAGGTCTGAAAGTTATATATAGTTACTTACCTCGATTTGCATCTAATTACAGAGTGTTGGGCTTATGGGCTCTCAGAGTTGTGAAAAGTGCTTCAAATTTCACAGAGAATAATGAGGATGTGAGGATTGTGTGAGAAACGGGGAAGAAGTCTAGTATGGTGCAAAGTGTTGTAAAACGAATGAACCGTTGTACTGTGGTATAATCACATACAAGCCCCTTAAAAATCTATTAAAAATCTATTCAGTTCCTTAGTGTCCAGATGAGAGCTGCAAAACTTTTTATCTGACACACATTGTTATCTAACAAGTAGGAGTTGAGATATACCCTACTCTACCCCGGTCCCCTGTTATCTCCTGGTCCCTTTACAGATTTATTTATTCACTCTGTAAATGCTGGTGATAAACTACTACTGTAGCCATAGCTGCCCTGAAGCACACCAACCGAAGCGATGCAGCCCAGTATGTGCCATACTGACCCCTTCTTCCACCGGCAACCATTCACACACACACACACACTCTCTAATGTAGGTGAAGTGTCTGGCCTAAGGACACAACCACTTGCATATTTTATATTATGGTGTTATGGCATATTTTATATTATGGTGTTATGGCATATTTTATATTATGTGGAAATTTAATGATGTTGTGTTTTGCTGACAGAACCTCTGCACCTTGGTGTATTTTGATAGAATCTTGTGAACTGTGTGATGCACCTGTTCAATAGAAGAAAGTGCTGATAAAACAAGCTGGACGTGTTGTGCAAACACATGTTGAGAAGCGTCATGTTTGGATGCTGAGGCGGTGTGGTCCTGGCTGAAGAGGAAGCCTGGGATGTTTCCGATAAGCACAAAACTAATTGGATTCTATTGTCACTTGGCTCGCAGTATTTCAATGCAATTACACCTGTTGGCGTGTGGCTCTACAGAACTCACTCATGCACAGCTGCAGCACTTTAAACAGGCAGGATGTGTGAGGGGATAATTCTGCGTTTACCTGAGTTCACTTGGCCGACAGAAACACTGGTGCACGGAGAGGCGCCAAACAACAGCAGCGCGGGGACGCCTGTCGGGTTTCAGATAAGCTTCTACCAAAAGGCATTTAACTGTAGAGGAAATAAAGTATTCACCGAGCAGGTTTACAGAGCTAAGTCTGTTGTGATCGGGTGGAGGGAACCCCGCATACACAAGATGGCCGCCTGTTCAAGGTGATCACCAGAGCATGCTCAGAGAGGTTGGATTTAATGGCTACAATCTCCACATCGTCATTATTGCTCCTATTGGTCCTATTGTAGTTGAACACAAATACACTACACATTATAAAGCAATTTACTTGCAACACTATGCAAAATTATTAGGATGGCCATTCACAGTCTTTTCTAGGGGCAGATGATCTCTTTTGTAAAACTGTTTTACTGGATTCAGGCTGTTCTGAGCATTACATTTTGTATGACCTGTCCATAATGATACGCATTGATAGGGTTATACCGATGAGGTATACCATATACGTATTGGTGGAAATGAAGTTGGCTGGATGACACAGAACTTATGTTTACAATTGCAAGGGTTAATTTTGTGTTAGGAAAGCAGAGGGCCACAGAAACAGAGGGTTGCAACTTAGTTCGAACTTGCCAGCTATACAAAATTATGGACTAGAAAACATCATTGATAGCACGATGCAAACACAAATGTGTGATTCTATAAAAGCACATTTGCATACAGTTCATGTTTACATTAGTGCTGCAAAACAGTGTGAGTTCCACCAAAAGCAATACTTACAAACTAAAATAAAGCTTAAGCGCAAATTCAGAGTGCAACAAATGAGAACCCAGCTCTGAACAGGACAGAACAGGAGCGCTCGGTTCAGTTCTCCAGCGTTGCCCACAGCAACAGCAATCAGTCAATCACACACAGCTGCACAGCACCTCACGCAAATCCTCACCTGCTGCAATCGGGCACTGCCCGCATCAGCTTCACATCACGCAGAAGCTCCATCCAAGCAGCAGCTTCATTCACGCAGCAGGTCTCAATCGTCACCCGCACACGGAGTACGCCCGGCACCGTTGTGGTCCACTCACTGCTCGGACGTTTCGTTCTCTGCTTCCTCGGCTGGCCGTGGCTGTTCGCAGCCCTGGCTGCCCTGGCTGCCCCTTTCGCTTCACCACTCCTGCTGCAGGTCGCATGCCACGGCCAGTGCGTCTCAGTCGTTTGCCTCTGCCCCCTCTTCGGCCCGATCCGTGCAGACAGGCGTCCGGACCGGGGCTGGAGTGCTTCTGGCTTGCAGTCCGGGACCCGGGGGTGTTTATTCGACGCTGGTTCGCGCCACCACCATCATCTGCCGGTAGATCCCGGGGCTGGTGTTTACCTGCTGGGTTTGTTCCTCTCCCCTCCTCTCGCTGAGCGGCGACTTGTTTTCCCCTTTTCTGGCCTGTAGGCGCTTGGTGCATGTCATTGTGTGTGGGGGATTATTTTCCCCGCGTAACTTATTTCTAAGCAAATGACTGTTAAATGGATTGACGTGAAGGTAGTAGTTGGATGGACATAGTTGACCGTAATTAAAGTGGGAGTGCGCTCGCCCGGGGCAGCGAGTCCCAGCCCTTGGTTGGTTATTTCAGCGGTGGTCCTCCTTTCAGCGTTAATGCAGTGTGACCGTGGTTTCTGGGGTGCCTGGTACATTGCTTCGTCGGTAGTCTACTTCAGCGCTGCGCTCGACCGCAGCGGTGGTTATGGCACGCTTCAGCGTTAGCACGCTTTGACGGTGGCCCACTTTGTCTGTGGCCCGCTCTCCTAATCGACCCACGCTGGTGGCCATACGCTCCAACGCCACACACACGGACGGACGGGTCTGTCGGACCCCCCTATGGGTCTAACAAAAAGGACAGCGGTGATGATCCAGGACATTTAGGGACACTAACCATTCAGTTATTCCTGTGATGAACTGTAGTATCCGCTTACGTCACTTCCTGCAGCACAAATTTGCCTACTTCATCAGGAGCCTCACGTCATTCCTGTAGGCCTTCGCTGCTGCCATACATCAAATATCTTCAGGTAATCATTCCTTTTCATTCACGGCCTTATTCCCTGGCAAGCAATTTCCAAGGTGCCGGCAAATCCCAACCACATTCTGTTCAGCACAATAAATGTAATCTTGAAAATATTGTCTTTAGTGTCATATGTGTCAGATTATCTGCCAATAAACATACAATTCTAATACTATTTGAAAACAGTAGACGGGGCTGGAGTGCTTCTTGGATGTAAAAATTAAAAATTTAATTAGGAAAAAAGTGAGGAAAAAAGTAAACTTTTGGTGCTCTTCAGTGGAGCGACCAATGTTGATAGTTCTGACAGAAGACTGAGGCACTCAAAAGTTACAAAAACCTTTAAAAGCCTTTATTTGACATGGCAAAAAGAGGTTAAAATTACGCCTACGCGTTTCAGCCTTCTGCCCTTCTTCAGGGCATACTCGAGAGGAGTGTCTCAGTACAGATTTAAAGAGAATGGTGCTTGTCACATGGTCAGTGGGCGGGCCTACAGTCACAAGGTTTGTGACTTGTGACTTGTATATATAGTTATATAGTTAATACTACATCTTAACTAACATTATATGCATTCAAAATCATATCATCTAATTTTTATTTGATTTTATGGCCCCCAAGAGAGATCATGTCACTTATTTTTAAGCTAAAAATTAGGTTTTTTCAATCATAATATATATTAGATGTAAAATCCATTGGTAATAATATTTCTAACTATAATAGAACACTATTAGAAAATAACTTTTGAAAAAAGTTAAACACCTATAAATGTAATAATTATAGTTACGTTGATGGTGTGAGGGTCTAATTTGACCCACATAGTTTTGTTAGTAAAAGGAGCCTTTGTCCTTTAGAAAACTACTTTATATTCAGAAAACACCAGTTTTATGAACGTTTTCTGGAATTTGGTCTGAAAAGCCCCAATGCAGTCTTTATGTGACTGCGATCTGTGACTTTGAAAATCGAGTGGGTTCAGGACTCATTTTTATGATGTCTGCTGGTTTTGCTCTGCCTTCATTTTCTGTTCATTCAGTCACTTCTTCATCTGAATCTGATGTTTCTTCATCTTCATGTGGATCATCCACAAAATCATCCTCAGATACATTGTTCTCTAAATTTGCCTGATCGGGCGGCATTGTGAACAGCGAGTGAATAGCACTGCTGCTCTTCAGCAATAAGGTTCTGGGTTCAAATCCAGGTGCTTTTCTGAGTGGAGTTTGCATGTTCTCCCTGAGTATGCATAGGTTTCCACCAGGTGCTCCGATTTCCCCTACCACTAAAAACATGGACAATAGTGAGTTGCTCAACACACACGTTAAAATAAATGTATATTGGTTATTCGTAATTTGAGATAGCTGTCTAATTTTAAGTTAAATGAGGGGCGCGAGGGTGGAAGTGCGAGTATTGGGACGGGGCCTTCCCCAATGACCTCTGTGTAAAACTGCTCATCCTCAGTTGAAGATTTGAGTGTCTGCTCAAGCTCCTCTTATCAGCAGAGCTATGATTGGTCAGAACGGTCACATGTCCCTCTCTGGTCTCTCTCTGGTCTCTCTATGGTGTCTTTCTGGTATCTCTCTAGACTCGTCTCTGGTCTGTTCTTAGCCACTCTCTGATCTCTCTCCAGTTGCTCCTGGTGGCGCTCTGATTGGTCAGAACGCTAAAATATTATTCTGGTCCTGTGGAAGTAGAACCACTGCACACCTCCTGCGCAAGACCGGGCCAGAATGGGTCACTTCTGCTAATGTTTGGGACGTCCATGGTGCAAGCATGAGATAAGGAGGACAGGGTAAGTCATTAGCCATAATTAATTAATAATAATTCCGTGCAACGGAAAATGGCACCGTGGCTGGAGTTCTGGTGCGTGCTGTCTTCTCTGTCTGGTGCAAATTGGGGTAGTCTTGCACAGTTTTTCCAATGTAGCTTTACTGCAAATGGCAAATAAATTCATGAATCTTGAATCCGTTGACAGCAGTGAAATTGGTCAAAAATAGGGTGGACATTTCTGGAGTAAGATATTCTCAAGATCATTCATAAGGGCCAAGAACACGGAATATGTGTTCTTTAACTCTCTTTGCATTCTCTCAGGCTCAGTAATTGCCATAAAATCCTTCCTACACAAAATAGATGAAAATAAAAGTGATAAAAGTGTTGGAAATGAAATGAGAATACAACACAAATGTAAGCCTTCATAAAGTTGCTGTTATTATTGTTTACATCTTTATTGGTTCATCTCCACATCGGAAAGAACGTCTGCTGAAGCTGCTCATAAAGACTTCCCTGCACATTCTCCTCTAACCAGCTAACTGCCTCTCCCAAATCTTTTGTTTTGCCTTATTGCTACTTTGACTTGAAAAAGCACTCTTGAGAACGTTTGTGTCGTTTGGGAGCGCAGTGTTTGTTTAGCTCAGTTCTGCCACCGTTGTATCCAACTTTTTTATGACACTTCTGCTCCAGCTCCTCCCTGTGCCTTTTGCATTCAAATTCCCCAAATGCTTTTGCCCCATCTGTCAATTGCCCTTACGAGGATGCCAGAGAGAAAAATATATATGTTTTAGACATAGGCACTTTGTAAGTGGATTTTCCTATGGGGACCATAAACCATATAACTGAACCAAGGATCTAATACTAAAAAAGAAGATGCTACATGTGTGTCCTTCAAAATCCTTCAGAATTAATAAACAACAATACACATTTTTTTATTTTTTTATGTGAAAGAATCAAACAAAAACAGTTGTTTGACACTGTGTTTGAGATATTTCCTGGGAGATCTGCTCTTCCGGAAAGACAAGATGGCTGCCACATGTTCCCTGCAGATCCCACAATGGTCCCTGAGTGTGTCATTTGGGACAGAGGAGCCCACCCTGAGAGCTGCTCCTCTGGTTGAAAAAGGCGCGGCGCAGAGCTCAAGCCTTTGGTCTATTTTACACACACCGCGGGGAAATAAAGACAAATTGGTGCGACAATCTCCGCTTGCGAGCGCGCCCCGTCCCGACCGGTGCTTTTATCCCGGTCGTTTGAAGAGGAGGTGTGATTTCTGAGCAACGGGACAGGAGGCAAAGTGAGCGGTTACATTGTCAATCAAACTCTGTGTGTCACCCAGTGGAATGGTCTGGTCTGGACTGGACTGATCTTGACAGGGCTGGGCTGGACAAAGTTATACCTTATTTTCTCCTCTGCATTTGACCCATCCTACATTGCCTCTAGAGCCTCTAGAGGATGTTTTTAGTGATGGGGGAAACTGGAACACCCGCAGGAAACCTGCGCAGATACGGGGAGAACATGCAAACTACTGTCCAGGGGAAGAATTGAAGCCAGGACATTCTTATTTTAAAACACAAGTTCTAACCTCAACGCAGATATGTGCAGATCTCATAATCTGATCTTTTGCATCCATATATATCAGGGATGTCCAAAATGTGGTCCGCGGGCCAACTGCAATGTGGTTAACACACAGTACCATTGAGATCATAGACACAAGTTCACAGTGTCATTCAGCCAACTTCATCTTTGCCAATGCAGCCACACTATAACATGTATAAAGTTAATTATGTCTCCTAATTTTTAAGCCTCAGGCACTTTATACCTCGTGGGGAAGCTCCAGACTTCTAGCATCGCCTTTGTTTGCCTGTTCTGACATGATGAGGAGGGGGCCATGCCATTTAAAGCCTTTATGTCAAAGAGGGATTTTAAATTAGATTCTCAACTCAACAGGAAACCAAATTATTTTCACATTGTGGTTTCATCGGTCTACAATTATCATTCATATTTCAGCATATGTCAGCATACCACACTAATGCCAACCCCTCATATAAGCATATACATACATTATATTTATATATATATATATATATATATAATATATGTATATATGTATATGTATGTGTGTATATATGTACTGTATGTATATATATATAAATATACACTGTACACGTGCACGCGCGTATATAAATATAGCTTCACATAGATCACTGTTGTTGCAAGTACACACTGGTGGTGACAGTCCAGGGGCTTTCTTAGGAGCTGAAGAGTTACGATCAGGCTGTAAAAACTACAATAACACATGTTTGATGTTTTCACCTCAACACACCACCCCGCTGCATCTGTCTATGTGCATCCCACTTCTGAGGAAACAGAAGTATTTAAGCAATCTGCTCAAAGTTAATTTCCTTTTGAATATGAGATCCAAAGAGCTATCAATATCAGTAAAGAAAGTCATCAACAAACTGTAGTGGAGGACAGAAGAAGAAAAGCCCACAGCTCAATAAGCCACTCCAGGAGGGGAGCATCCCACTGTACGTTCTTTATTATGCAGACCATATATCTATTGTGCTCCTACATCTGGCCTAAACCCTCCATCTGGCAGTTAGCAACCGTCGTGAGTTAGTGAGGCTTTGTGTTTAATATCTGCTGCTGGAGCCAAACCTTTGAGCCATGAGAAAGTACATGCAACAAGTCAATTGAATGTGATGGAGGGCTTTGTTAGACATGCATACTCTTATTTAACAAAGGGTACACACTTATAATAATAATGTTGTTGAGGCGACAGTAGCTCAGTTTGTAGAGCATTGGCATTTGAGCCAGAAGATTGTGGGTTTGAGCCCACCACAAGACGTTCACCATTGACTCCCACTGTCTGCTGTCATTGTGTCTTTGGCAAGACTAAGTGGGAACACCAGCCACAGTGGGGCGGCTGCGGCTGTAAAGTGCCAAACTGCCGTTGTGTCCTTAGGCAAGACACTTCACCCCCATTTCCTAGAATGAGTCTGGTGTGTGCGTGAATGATTGGTGGTGGTCGGAGGGGCCGATGGCACATACTGGTTGCCTCGTATCTGTCAGTGTGCCCCAGGGCAGCTGTGGCTACAGTAGCAGTTTATCACCACCACCACAGAGTGTCCAAAAAAGCGCCATATAAAACCGATGCGTTATTATTGTTATAAAAATGACAAAGACATATAGGAGCCTTTGGTTCATAGGGAGAGGGATGACCACTGTCCAG